CAATGCATTCTTTCTGTTCCACAGGAGCAAATGGGGAAAATGGGAAAATGGCGTGCCAATTTGGCAATAAAATAAAATTAATTAATTTAATTAATAAAATTAGCCTCCTTAAAAATCAATATTTCCGGGATATGTATGCATGACTTCAAACTCTTGATCTGCATAAAATTCTGAACATTTATACACGTATGTACAAACACACCATTGTTTGGATTTCCGTAGTATGTATTTCCATATGCATTTATTTATGTACATATACATACCTACAAATTTGGCATATATGCCAAATTTAAAGATTATTAGATTAGATGCGTGTTGTCAAAATAAGTATTTGCTTAAAATTAAATGGAGAGATGAATATGGAGTTAGCTTTGCAAGAGGATAGGTTTTAAACAAAATGCTTAAAGTTCCCAAAAACCTAGTCTTCTGACCCCCAACCCATGGAGGGCGACCCGAAAGTTATATTTTGTTAGCTTTTTCAATAAATTTTTACAAGATGTGTATTTCCCAGTCGGAAATTCCCACTTGAAATTTGTATTTATATATGTATCTATCTCTATTTTTATGCGTATATAATTGTTGTCTTCTATGTTTAGGGTGAAATTCAAGTCAGGATCTTATCTCGTTTAGAAAATTAAATTTCTTATTATTACATAGGGATAGATTGTTTAAAATGCTGAGAAAAGTATTGAAACTATTGGATACGTTAGTAAAACTGTTACATACATTAATTCTTATCGACGTCAAACCGTTATTCGGACCCCCTTAAATAATTTAGGAGTCTAAGCTGGCCCAGTACAGCAAAAGATATCCAAAAAGCTTTAACCGCACAACACTCTTAAAAATAAAGTCATCATAAATTCTGTATTAAATAAACCATACCAAAGTTCCCAAAAGTTAGCTCTGGATTTAGTTTATAGTTTAAATGCTTAATTCAAAATTCAGAGTGCATTTTATGTCCAAAATGTTCCCTATAATTTTAAGTGTGCATGTTACGTACATTCCATCAATTCCTTTTATATATAACTTTGATCTAATTACAATTTAAGTACAACTAATAAAGTATAAAGTATTGTAGATAGTTAGATCTATTGAATTTAGAGAACTTTATAGTCGAAAATATGTTTTAAAAGAAGCATTAAACTTATATAAACGGGATATATTTGATTAAATTTTTGCCGAGGATGTGGAGCTGATTTGAAAAGTACTTAATATAATTACATATCAATACCTTAATTTAAAAGTTGGCTTAGAATTGATAAAATTAACAAATTTACAAGAAATTGGCTGGTCAAAAGTATTTCTCAGTAAAACGAAATAAAAATACTATAAATATAATATAAAGAGACTGGCATAACCACGCTACAGAAATCCCAGGCATGTATCCTACCTGCGGTACATATGTCAAACATTTTCTTATAATGGGGTAACAATTTATCTCCAAAAATTAGCCATAGTCTCGAGCAAATCATACTATTTGGTAGCTTCGAAATAATATGTCAAAACATTGGAAGTGATGCGAAAAATTGGGGACTCCTTGATAAAAAAGCTTGTACACATGTATGTACACTAAATAATTTCTGAGTCTACATACGTACGATTAGACACCTGTAAGAACGTTTTTAGTCAGGACAACACCGCCCATGCCATTCTCTGAGCTAGTCATGTCCGTCGCTAGACTCAAGTAAATTCCATCCTGCCATTATAAACTTCAAACATTTCCCCTTAATTCATAAGAAAATTTCTAAATTTCCTATCGGTGCGATATTTTCTGAACTTTAAGTCAATAATCATTAATATTTACCTAAGAAGGCTTGGATAAATTAGTTAGTTGCTACAATTTTGGTTGAATGTGTATACATTTATTCCGATCGATACGTACGGCCCTCACTAATTTTAGTTATTCTTATCAATTTAATACGGTTGTCCAGAACTTGACTCTATCCGATGCTAATACTCTCGAAAAAATTCCAATACGCTTATAAAAATCGGATGAACCAATCTGTCCCATTAAACTCTGCATTTTCAAATTCTGAATATCGTGTTTTGTGCTTCTTAAGATTTGTCCTTAATCATTTTTCTAGAATTTCTGCAATGGTTTGCCTTTTATGTAGTTAAATTGGTTATTGGAGGCTATCTATTTGTACAACGTCGTCATAAATGGCATTAAAAAATGTATAGCAACTAACGAGATAATATTGACAAAGAGGAGATGTAAGGTGGTTATCTCCGATTTTGACGGAACTAATTTTTAATTGATTACGCTCAGAAATATTTATGTATAAGTGGTATTTTTGGGTTTTCCAGAATGTGCATGTTCTCGCCCGTTACGAAATTACAAAAAATTTCAGCCAAAATCAGGATTTTTAAAAAAGTTGTAACTTTTCGAATTTCAACTCGATCTCAATAATTAGACTATTTTTATTTTTGATCCTAGTTATTTCCCTGAAATTATAAAAATTAATCTTAGAAATTTAAAAAATGTGATATTTCTGAATTCTTTAAAATGCAAGAAACGTTAATTTTAGAAATTGAAAGTTTTTGGAAACAATGTCTTTTTTTAAATAAGTTCAGAGAAGTATATAATTCTGAGCAAAAATTGTGCTTAATTTTTAAATCGGGTTAAAAATTGATAAGTGAACGTTTTAAAAAATCTTTAGTTTGGCTGATTTTTTTAAAAACTCGGCCACGGACGGAAACATTCTGGAAATCGCAAAAATACGGGTCCGCTTATTTATGAGCGTGAACAATTTAAAATTAGTGAAAATCTGAGATAACCACCTTGCGCTTCTTCATTGTGAGTATTTAATTCGCAACCCTCATTTTGCTTCATAAATAAATGACAATACCTCTCCAAATTAAGACTACTATAATTTAAGTTTTATAACTATATATGTAACTTATTCCTTTATATAACTCCATATAAATTTACAAATTTAGGGACATGTATGTAACCAGAATCAGTCCTACGACTCAAATGTCTCAATATAAAACAAAATAGTTCCCCATCTTTACAATAAACCTTTCCTTTGGAACGTCGTGACGTAAAATAATTTATAAAAATGATTTTAACCCCGTTAATGTGGTCGTGCCTTGATTTATTTTCTAAATATTACTCCCACTTCTGGCCCCACCCTTTCGAGTGGGATCCTTCTAGAAAGAAATTTGTCGCAAATCCTAAATCCACCAAGTTACTATTTTATTTTTTATCCATGGCGACCCTGGTCTGTAGCCCTATCTGTTCCGTAATACTAGTGGCAGCTAACTCTTCTGCTTTCATAAATCTCACCTTCTTCGATGTACTAGGAAACATCTTGTTCTTATTCGTAGAAGTGCTAACTTTGGTCACGGAATTGTCATTTTCCTTCTACGCCGAGGAGTTGAAACTTTTCGGCAATTATTTGAAAAGACTTGATGCCCAAATTCGATCACGTAAGTTAACACAAAACATGTGGTGGCGTAATTTATTTACGATAAGTAATATCTGCCGAATTCTAAGAATTAGGGTAAAACTTTATAGCCAGCTTTTACACGAATTTATTAGGTGTCCTTTATTTGGTAAAACTTTTACCGTAAAAGTTTGTGGAATACTATGATATTCCACAATTTACTCGTTTCATTTAGGGGTCGTTCATAAGTTATGTAGCGCAAAAATCGCACCTCGCATCATGTGTCATATGTGTGTAGCTACGGTAGCATTCCAGCCTTTGACCCCCTCGGGTTGTATAATTTATGAACTGCCCCTTACCAACATTAGAGTGAATTTTGAAATTCTATAAATTGTCTAAATACTTGACACTTTTTTGTTTCAGGTGCGCATTCTTCACCTCCTACAACATACTGGGATCCCTTAGGAATATTTGGACACATTTTACTAATCGCCTACACGGCTTCTCCTTGGCTAGCAGTTGCATTCATCCTGGTTCTAGATATTAGACTGGATCCCATATTTTTACTGATAAAACATTGCATCCCCAAGTATTGGAAGGTATCCTTACTGCAACTCTACTACATTACCCGCCCCGGATTTTTCATCCCACTGATGCAAATATGCCGCACATTGTGTTTCCTGATCCTCTCCGGTATAACGATTGGTCACTTAGGCTTAAACTGCGCTGACCACGTGAACAATACGTCTTTTCTAGTAGCAAGCCAGCTTCGCGCGCAAGTTGAAATATACTTTCGGGGTTACAACGTTTTGCGAATTTGCGCTACTGCCATGTCCAGAGCGTTTGGAGGGATAATATTCTCCGCATTGACGACAGTTTTCATGCTCACGGTGATAGCAAACTACATCTCGATCCGAATGAGGGGCTTCATTCCGACGTCGATCTACATATTTTTCCCCGTGACGGGAATCCTTGCCCCGACAACGATTCAATTCATACTGTCATTTCTTGTCGCTATGAATGATACTACAAATGAGATTTTGGCAAAGTGCAAATTCCATATGAATAGAAGTAACGACAAGAAATATGTGAGGCGCAGGGTTCGTTCGATGAAATCAATTTGCATGCATGGTGAAATAATGGGGATAAAATTGTTCAAATGTTGTAGATCGAATAGGTCGGAATATTTGTATGTGATGCTAAGTTATACTGTGACGGCGCTTATTACGTGGAAGAAAGTTTAGAATGTAGCGTATTTGTTGTTGTCTTCATATAAATAACCCCATTTTAATTCTTGGAAATGAATGAATAAAATATTTTACTGATTTGTTTTCGCAGAAGGATATGTAGATATTTGGAAACTGTGATGCATTTCTCGCTGTCAGATGACCATAATCTATATATGTTTATAAAAATCATTAGTATCCTTAGCTTAATTACGGGAAAAGATTTGCATATTCTTGCAGGGTCAAGCAATTCATGGGGTCACTACCAAGTACATAATCCAAGTAATCTGTACTTATTTATCATCATCCCGTCTTTCCAAGTAGTGACTACATACTTCATAAATACGATATTACTTGGTTGAATACGGTATAAAAAGAGAGAACAAGATTGGTAAATCTCTACAAAGCACGTCATCCAAAAAATATTTTGCAGGAAAATTAAATACTCATTATCTACATATCTAAAAACTTGAAATGGACTTCAATTTACTGAGCAGATTTTTATTCCTAGTTTCCTTAAATGTGTGTCAAGCCAGATTTAGAGAAGAACTGCCAACCAGGGCCCCACGTCTTTTATCGACATTGTCTCCATTAAACAAAATTCTGTGTCCTGTTCCCGAACCACTCAAGCTCTCTCAGCCAACTCAGAAAGCACTTAATTCAAACATACTATCGGCACTTAAAGAACAGGAGAAACTTTTGTTAAGGATTGAGGCCAACCTCAAAACGGAGATTCGGGCATTGCGAAATGTCACATTGGAGTGTAAGCAGATTTAATATTTATGAAGATAAAAATGGAAGGAAAACCCATATATTACGTCATTAAAAAGAGGTTTGGGTAGCTTTGGATCGGCTGTCCTACTCATTTTACCTTAATATGAGTAGGACAGGGACCAGGTGGGTCAGTGGTCTACACACAGGCGTAATTTTTGACGTAATATATGCATGACCCTCGAGTGACATTGATGCAAATTATTTTTCACGGCAGCACCAGTCGCCAATATCACTGCAATGGTTCCTGATCATCCTGCCCCCGTTATCGTTGGGATTGGAAATGTGCTAGTAAGCTTTAACCTTTCTGATAATAAATATATATTTGCATAATCACTTCTAACGTTGGAGTGGATAACTCAACGCGAAAATAGTCAATCAGTACATTTTTAATAATTTTTTAGTACTGGGAATTTATTAAAAATTCTGTACGACAAATGTATAGAACAGGTCGTTTCCATTTTTTAAAAATATACATATACATGCACACTCCCAATTTTAAAAGTTTTTGAAGGAGGAGATCTCAAATTTAGAAAACGCCCTCAGAATGTCAAAATTTTAAAATAAATTCCCACAGCCTAGAAATGATTGCCAATGCTTGATTTTGAAGCTGTTGCTGATGAGTCATCAAACCCTACCTTAATATGACATGCATGTACATATGTAGCTAAATTCCACCTTCTTGTTTAAAACAGCCTGGCCACCTCGTCTCAAATGCCGAGCTTATACGACAAGGTTATCCACAGTTGGAACAGTGCCTTATCGAGCGTGGAACTACTTTTGCTTCGAATTACCGCTGTTTGATTGCCAGGGGTCGGTTGGAGTGGATAAACAGCAATTTAGTTATCCGAGACGAAGATGGTAGAGCGACTTGGTCCGTGCTCACAGAAGGGGAAGGATTTCGCCTAACATTTCAACACGATGGAAATCTTGTTCTGTACAATCAAGAAAACAGGCCGTTTTGGGCCTCGTATACCGAGGGAATAACCGCTAGACTTGTATTTCAGCCTGACCGGAATTTGGTAGTGTATGGGGCTTCTAATAACCCAGTATGGGCGTCTATGTCGTATGTAAAAATGTAAGTTGTGAGTCCCACGACACGTATGTACATACATGCACATGTCGATAAGGTAAGCTCCGATGGAGCAGGAATAAACATTTTAAAACAATAAATCAACCATTTTATGTCCATTGTGTCATTTACCATGGTACAAATACATACAGATTGTCACACTGGCATTTGTATATAAATTACATTTTCGTTTTAAAAAATACATGTTTGTGAATAATAAATAAGATGTACACGTATGTATGTACATCTTATTTCTGATATTTATAAATATGCACCGAATGTAAATATGTATGACACATATCATTTACATAAATATGTACTGTATTTATGTATGATACATATGTACATACTTATCTCCAATTATATAGCTAATGCAAATTATATTACCCTAACACATTTGTGTTGCATACATACATGCTGCATTAAATATCTAAATTTTATATACATACATATGTATATGTGTGAAAATGATTTGTAATATCAGCCTATGTATCTTGAGGATATATTTGTAATTAATATAACATGAATGACAGTGGAAGCACGGATTTTTACCCCATTTGGAACAAAATTAGCAACCTCACTTGCATTTTGCATTACATTCCATGTTCACTTTTTTAATGAAATTATGTCGTAAACATATTTTGTAGTCGGCAGTGATCCGTGGTTTTCTCTTTCACTGTTGATTATTATGACATTAATTACATACATATTATCAGTCATGTTAATAAGTAAGTGTCGTGTCACTGTTGATTATTATGACATTAATTATTAATTACATACGTATTATCAGTCATGTAAATAGGTAAGTGTCGTGTATCACTCGTAACCTCAAAACCATGTTATTCTGCCCATTTCTAATTTCAGCATACGTTCATATTTGTACAAATCACTCATATTCTCGCATACATATTTGTATTTATTTGCATTCATATGTATCATTTTCAGATTCTCGTGTTGACTGGAAACTCGCTCAATGCAGGATATTTTGCTGTAAAAAATACATGCACTAATGAAGCACATGCAGCTTTACTGGATGCAGCTCTGCTTAAAATTGCGCAAGGCCAACTGGTTTGTTTTGCCTCTTTTTGTTTCACTTTTCCATAGAAGTGCCGACTTTACCTTTCATGCTGGATAATATTTAACTCCATTTACATACATATTCCAGCAGTGCAAAAATATGACAACATGTGTCAGTCATTCCATGCTGGCCGGGGTGCTCGTTTGCTGCCGAAATCCAGATTAATTTAGATATTTATGTATATCGTTATACATATGCAGTGAAGAGTTAATTTTCTGCATAGTTATTCACTGTTAGAAATTTGGTCCTGGTGTAGTCACGCAGGTATTGAGTTCTCGATATTAAAGTTGCTATCAGTTGGTATTAAAATTATACCGGTCCATAAAAATTTGGTACCGATATGACAAAGCTTTAGTACCGAGCTAAATATTGCTACACCGGATTTTTGATCAATACCACGTTAATAGAGTTAAATATGAATACCGCTTGGTTTTATTTTATTTAAGACTGGGTGTTTAAGAGTGTTGATTTTTTCTTATTTCAGTGAATATTAAGAAATGTCGGGTTTTATCCCGGTGCCACAAAATGAAGGTGGAGCCACTAAAGGACACCTTGACACGGAGTGGTACGAATTTCGGAGGACGGATGGATCCTTAAAGTGGCCACAAGTTGTCGGGGGCATAATTGGCGTACTCTTCCTGATTGGATTGATCGTGTTGATTGTGTTTCTGATTATTGGATTTATTGGTAACTGTTTAATTATCATTGAGCTAATTCACACAGTCTTTGTAAACTCCAAATATATGTAAATTTTGCAAAAATAATCTTACAAGTTTTTACAAAATGAAACTACGCTCTTCTAAGGGCATCTTTTTCGAAATGAGCAAGTTGACACCAAATTTTGAGCTGAATTTCCTTAAAAATGTTCATAATATTTTGCGAAGGTTTTTAAGTTTACAGGATTTACGGATTTTACAATGTTACCAAGGCCGGCGTAAATTTTCTAATTGATTTGCTAAAATTTTAATACGTGTGATTTTATTTATTTATTTTAGGAACGATAAGTTTTGGCACGACCCCCGCCATCCAGTACATTTCACGGGATGCAGAAAATTTCAGGGTAAGATGTTCTGCAACCAGTAGCAATGAAAAGTTTGTGGTGAAGATAACCTGGAAAATTGATGATGATCGAGATCCCAACGATTTTCGTGAGTTGGCCTAAATAAATATTGAGGGTATTCATGATTACTTCGAATTCTTCGTGTCGTAAAATTAGTTAAGACGGTTAATTGATTTGGTAAGCGTTGTATGTAAGATGTTATCATAAAAAATTGCGTTACTAAGGTAACGAAGCTTGGCCCCATATTTTTTCTGCATTAACTAATTTTCGATACTAAGGATACGAAGAAATAATGATCGTTTATAGTAATTAAATTGTGTTTAAATAAACCCATTTACAGCTCAAGATATGGTCCTGCAGGAAGATGGCTCCCTAATAATTTATCACCCGAGTCAGGAACGTGACGAAAAACGGAAATATATCTGTGTCGCTACCGCAACTGAGGATGACAAGTACAAGGAGGAGAAAAAGATGCAAATCAATTTACGAATTAAGCGTATGTTTTGTGCTCCATTAAATTATCGTATTCAGGATTCAATGACTCAGCATCAAACTTGTCAAAGTCGAAACATTTTTAATCATTTTTCCGCTCTAGGAATTTGTTTTAAAATTCTGGAAGACCAATTCCTAGTCAATAAGTTGACTGATAGAATGACTGTGAGTTCTTAACAATTAAGATAAGCCAGTTTCGATGAGTTCCAATTTTTCTGAAGGCTTCTTAACCTTGAGATTTCATCCTTTAAAAACTGTCCAAGTCTGGAGTGTACTTACATATATTTTTTTAATTGGGAACTCTAATTTTCCAATTTTTAATTGTAAACTTTAAGCACACATTTTCTTCCATTGTGCTAATATTTAAAAATCTCTCAAAATCAACTAGGACCACCGCGATTCATTAAGACAGAGTCGCGACCAAAACAACTCACCCTAACGTACGGGGAGAAGGGTCAAATTAACTGCGTCGTGGATGCCCAGCCCCCCGCGACATGGACGTGGAAATGCGGTGGGGTCGAGATCAATAATGATAATCCGTTCAAGGATAAATTCAGCGTTATCAATACCGAGAACGAATCAACCCTGAAGGTGTGCGATTTTTTTGCAAATCTGTACTATCAAATAATTTTTGCAAATACCTATTGGGGATATTCATTACTATTTCGCATGTTCTCACCGAGCAACATAATTTTTTCAAGTCTTTGGGAGGGCAAGTTCTCGATTAAATCCAATTTTTTACTGGCGAACTTTGGACACTCTCTTTACAAGTCGCCAAATTAACAAACAAATTGGTTCAATATTTGGCTTCAAAATTTGCATCTCCAAAACGATTATTTAGTCAGCATTTTTTCTCCAAAATTGTATTACGATCCGAATTGTCGAACTCGTAATGAATAACCCAAATTAACCTAACGTTGCTAACGATAAGAACTTGTAGTGAATACCCCCAAGACATAATGAACATTTGCATATTTCCTCAAATCCACAGTTCGAATACATCCCGGAACTATTTCGACGTGGAGGCTGCTCCTGCCAACCCCATAACGAGGTCTCCACCCACATAATAACTCTCCACACGAACGTCACCCTGTTCTACCCACCGGTTAAGCTGCACCAAGCCACCTTCCGCGGCGACACGACTGTCCGACTGATCACTTACCGGGACGAGGATAAGGGTCCGCCAGACACGAATATGTGCTTCTTCCTCCAATACAAGATCTCCGACGAGGAGGTTGACGACGAGTGGAAGTTTGCAGAAAGGGTTTTGACCAATTTGGACTTCGACGTGAAGAAATGCACAATTGAAAAGTGGAAAGAGTGGAGAATTGATGGATTCAATACGCGTGAAGTGTTTGACCATTTGAACGGTAAGGAAATATTTTTAAATACTGGAGGTAATAAACTTTCGATAATTAATGAGCAAAAGGAAGTGAGACGTATGTAGTTACTGGGATCGATTTGTCCGTCCGTCCGTCTGTCTGTTTGTTGGAACGATAATTCTTGCACGAATTAAGTTTTTTTTTAAATTTTGTTATCGGATTTCTAAATCCAATTTTTAAAGCAAGAGGCCTTTCGCCAAGTGACCATGTAGGCCAAGAGGTCACGACACCACGGTAACGATGTCAAAGGTCAAAATTGTCGACTTTTTTGTTTTGACAATTTTAGACATTTATACATACTTAATTTTGATAAAGAAATCGCCATCGTATCGGCATCCATCTTGGTGACCTACATATAAACGAGGTCTGACGTCAAGAATGGCGAATTTTTCTATGAAATCATCCACTTCGAGTATTGTACTCCGTTTTCGCGAGTTTATTTATTTTACTTACATATTGCTGACGTTTATTTTTGGTGATTGTCAAATTTTTATGCGAGTTTTTAAATTAAAAAAAATTAACAGTTGTGGGTTCCGCACATTTTGACCTGCACGGACTCCAGCCTTCAACCGGCTACGATGTCAGAGCGATGGCCGTCAGCGTGGAAAATGGGAACGTTCCGCACATCAGGCTGAGCGATACGACTCATTTCGTTACAAAGGGATCGGTATGACTCGGATTTACATAAACGTTACGATTTTAAACAGAAAGTACGATACTAATTTTTTTTTTTGAATTTAGAAACAACTCAGCGATAATAATTAAGTTCGTGTATAATTCACGAATCTAAACCTGTACGGAAGATACATATTTACATATATAAATATTTACATACATACATATCCTGAGCTTGATCCAAATGTGATTTTAATATCTTTACAAGGTTTACAATTTTGTGTTGTCATAATAATTACTTCAAAAGTTAGTTTATTTCGGCAAGGCGCAAATTTATGAAAAATTAAATCCAAGCTGTTTTAATTGGTACATATTTTGCCAAAATTCAGTGCTGAACATTTCTCAGTTAACGCTTCACTTGCAGATATTCCTTAAGTTTATATATAAGGTTAAAAACATTAATTTACATTATTCAATACTAAAAATATCGATAATTATTATTCGGTTTTATTCATTTCAACAGAAAAATGTATTCACAAAGTAGTCACAATTACTTCATATTACTCGGATTCACTATTAATTAATTTTTGTAGCATACATAGATACATACATACATACATACATACACGAGAACGGGTACATACATATGCATACTCTTAAAAACCCTGTGTTAATCGTCACCACGCGGTGTGCATGTGTGACTTCACCAATTAAGTGCTTATAATGTTTTTCACCGCATGGTGATAAGTCTTGCCCGCATGGTCACAAATTGTCACTGGCTTGGGTTAATTTTATCACAATTAAATGAGAAACATCATCCCCGCGGGGTGAAATCACAGATGTATATCCATACCGTTCGTAGAGGATTAACACCGCGTTTTTAAGAGTGTATATACCGCTTAGGATTAGTTGTGCAGACGCAAACGTATTTATCAACGGAGGATAGAGAAGTGATCCTGTTTCAATGTCTGACATTAAAATAGAAAGCTATGTACTGTAAATTTATTCAAATGTTTGTATGTGTCTGTAAGCTACAATTTGACAGACTTTACGCTGAAGTGAACGACTTAACATACGCGGATTACGAAAGTAATAAAATTTAGCTAAATATAAATTATGTGGGTATCCGTTATCCAAGTAAAATATAAAATACTAGCGTATAAGCCCGTCTTCCGCCGGGCGAGAGCGTATTTGATTTTCGTGAAAATTAAGTTGAATTTTTCATAATTCCAACGAATTATTTTTTTTATTATATCTATTTATATAATTAGCTGGAAATGCCTGTTGGCGAGGAAGTGAAACTTTTTCCAGTTTTACTTCCGTCACGGAAAATTACTTTCACTTCCGTTGCAGACAAACATTTCCAGCTTATAACATAGATGCAATTACATACATAAACATAAATGGGTATTATAGTTGTTGGCATGTAAACATCTATGTAAATGGCGGACCTCGAGTTCAACCTTTTTTTTGCATGTGTGATCTTCAGTATCTCGTGAAAAGTGGTAAAAAAATATCTGCTAGCTAGATTCGAGCACATTAAAACTGAGTTGTTTGCCTACATATGCATATGCGTCAGGACCAGTTTTGACAAAAATTACCAAAATTGTCAAACCTAAGTGAATGCAGGAATATCTGCAGACAAAAAAAGTACACAAAAAATTAATTACATTTTAGAAATGATTTTACCCTTACGAAACGTAAGTGCACACTGAATTTTATATTAAGCAAACTTTATTAAATCCAGACTGACGTAAACTTGATAAAGAGTAAAGTTGACTCTAGATTTAGGATAGTTTACTTAATATAGAATTTATACTGCATTTATATGCTCTTCAAAGGGAGGAAATTATTTTTTGGAAATTGTTCTTTGTCTAAATAATTTCATAATATCGATGATAAATGTTACGTCATTATCTGTACGACGACTTAACTTATGCAGACCCCACCCACACCTATTAAGGCTACTGGAACAAATTTGAAGGTTGTAACCCGTACCACTGGTGCTGATCACACCAGTGATACGGGTCTCAATCCGACCCACCCGTGGAGAAATCTATCCCTTCTGCCATCTGGCAATAGCCGGAAGATCTTTCTCCCACTCGGGAAGAACGAGGCAACCTTGCTCTCGTCTCAGCTTTCTTTTCCTCCTTCTTTTTCTCTCTTTGGAAAGACATTCAGTCTAATACCTCCTTATGAGCAACATCTTTATTTTAGGGTTCTTCTTCTTTAAATATTTTTATAGCGTGTAAAATAATTCATATTCCAGCTTTAAATAAATATTAGTTATTTAAGAGAACCCCCCTTTGTGTTGCCGTTATCATTTAACTGCTCTTCACCGAAAAGTCGGGATAACTTCCCCCCAGGAAGTTAGAATTAGGTCGCGAATAGGGACATAAGTACATATAAGAGGGAACATATCAATTTCACATCATCCTCCCTTCCCATTACAATTCAACCATATTCGTTACATGGTGCCGAACACCCTCTTCGGTTACGAACAGTTAAGTGCTCTCCTCCACCCCTTTTTTGCGGTGGAAAAGTGACAATTTTGGTGCGTTCATTGGCGTATGGAAAACGCCCACCAAAAAAAAAGTGTGCTCCATGGAACAGTGAAAACGCCCACCATATATTGAACAGTGAAAACGCCCCTTCTCCTACAAATTCATCTTGGATACGAGAAACACCCCACTCTATCATCATGGATTTCCTCGTCCAGGCTTTGAATTTATTTGCCTCACCGGTCACCAATACGACAATCGCCACAGAGGGAACTGAGACCACCGCCCCTTTGACCTCCGACTCACCATGGCCTTGGTTCGTGACGTGGTCATTGGAAACATTGGGCATCTCCTTCCTCGTCGGAATAGTACTTTATGGTCTGTATTGGTTAATCAAAAAAGGCTTGTCTAAAATTTTTGCACAGATTCCGCGTGGACAAAAGGACGTCGTCGCTCGTAAAAAATTGGACAAAGTCATCCAGTGGATGACCCAATTCAATGCAGAATTTGGTGGATTCCGTCAATTTCGTGATCTGGTCCAGGATGAGTCAATACAAATTTATGAATTGATTGATGAAATAACTACTGAGATTGCATCACTTTTGGTCAGAATTTCCGATCAGTTATCAAATAATATTGAGGAATGTAAGGCTCACGCTTCACGTGACCTTACTGAGAAATTTAATATTTTGAAAGGAAATTTAAATCGTATTGATAAGGAGTGCAATTTCTCTCAGATTCAACTAACTGAATCTATTGCTGGGTTACAGGAGCAGATTGACGACCTCCACGCCAGTGTCTCTCCTACTCCTGACCCGGTCCTCTCATCGATCCTCGGACCCCAATACCCCATTTCCGCGCCGGCCTCGGACTCTGTCAAAAATTACGTCGACAAGAAACTGGACAGCATCACGACCGGCATCGACCATTATCGTCGTTCCACCGCTGCCCGTATGGACGACACGTGCGACAAGATGAGAGCTGAAATAAAAACCCTACGCGGAGAAATTGAAGCAATCAAAAAGCAATCAATGTATCCTCCTCCCCAAACTTTCACACCGCTCTCATCACCCTCCACCACTCCCACCACGCCAATTATCATCAGTTCCGTGACGATCCCTCCACCCTCCACTACTACGCCATTCACCGCCCCCACAATTTCCTCGGTCCCTCCACCACCAAATCCATCCACGGCTCCGCCCACTCAAGCTCCTATTATCATTCCCGATGGCACCATCATTGTACCTCCGCCCACCGGTATCCCTTCCACCACCCCGGTCGTTTATCACTCTGTTGGAAACATTCCTCCTCCCAAATTCCTACCAAACTTGGATACGGCAGAGAATTTTTTGAATGAATTGGAAGGCTTTATGCGTCGCAAGCGTCTTGACCCTATGGATTGGATTCTTATGCTTCCGTCGGTTTTCTCATCTGACCGCAAGCAAAGTACATGGTGGCAGCGTACCAAATTAGTGGCTCAAACATGGGGAGAATTCAAATCCCACTTCATCATCATGTACGGATCGGACTCGGACAAGATGAATTCACTTGAGAAGCTCCTCAACCGTCGCCAAAGGGACAATGAAGACTTTCACACTTTTGCACTGCAAATGGACATGCAGTACCGAAAAGTTTACAACGTGGCTCCCCTTGCAAATGAGTCCGAAGTATTGCAATTCGTCTCCGAACGTGCGCTCCCTCATCTCCGGATCCCTCTTCTCGGTTGTGGTGCTTCCACCCTCGTTGAACTCATCAATTTCGGGAAGAAAATTCAGGCCGCCACCGACATTGACAAGCGCCCCTCTAAGTCTTCACCCACCCACATCAAGAATGGACATAAATCCAACAACGGTGACAAGGCTGAGGGACAATCTTCATCATCAAAATCCCACCCCACCGCCAAGAACGACAACAAATCAGGCAACTTTTCCCGGCGCACTTTCACTTGCGCCAATTGCCCTGGATCCACTTCCCACAGTACTTCACGCTGCTTCAAGGGAAAACAACAGGCCAACGTCGTCCGGCAGGCACAAGGATCTGAGGTCTCGGGAAACGGAGAGGAGGAGTAGACATTGGCGGGTGTGTCATCTCTCATCCTTTACTATTTAACCCGAAACGAATCATTCCTCAAATAAATGTAAATACTTTTTTTGGTTCTTTTTCTGCTTTAGTTGATAGTGGTAGTACAATCTCAGTAGTATCTCGGTCCATCCTTCCTAAACACATTAAACTTTCTAAATGGGTACACGGACCGGTACTCATGCTCGACAATACCGAAGCTTTCCCCAGTGGTACTATAAGACTTAAAGTGACCCTTGAATCTCGTTCATTTTTTCATGATTTCGCGGTGATGGAATCTTCTCACCACTTTCTTTTGGGCACTGATTTTCAACACCACTGCGGATTTGCTTTTGACATGTGTGATCTGGTGTGGGGATTTTCGGACACTTTTTGTAAAACTCGATATCCTCTAAAGGTAGTTCATACGTCCGCCCACACCACACACAATCTAATTCTCTTGTCTGATTTTGAGCAAGACGAGATCAAGGAATTGCTTAAACGATTCCCTGATGTCATCGATGCTCCCTTGGGTCGCATTAAAGGTGTCCAACACCGCATTAAATTAATTGAAGAGCGCCCCAAGCGATAACGCCCATACCCGGTTTCTCAGCACAAGCATGAGGAAATTTGCCGTCAGGTCGATGACATGTTAAAGCTTGGTGTCATTCGTAAAACCAAATCTCCTTATGCTCACCCCATTCTGTTACGTGAGAAGCCGGATGGCACATTCAGATTTTGTGTCGATTTTCGCCACATAAACAAACTGACTCCCAACGACAGTTTCCCTATACCCAGAATCCAGGACATTTTACGACGTCTAGCGGACGCCAAATACCTTAGCACAATGGATGCTGAAAAAGGTTATTGGCAAATTGCTATGGAAGAAAAGTCTAAAAAATACACTGCCTTCTGCACTGAAAGGGGCCTGTTTGAGTTTAATTCTATGGCCTTTGGACTCAAGAACGCTGGTGCTTCTTACCAGCGCATGATGAATGAGTTACTTGAGGGTCTGACCAATTTTTGCCTTGTTTACCTGGATGACGTGATCGTCTTTAGTAAGACATTTGGTGATCATAAGCGTCATCTGGAAATTGTTTTGAAGAGGTTTCGAGACGCCGGACTTACTCTTAAACGTTCTAAATGTTTTTTTGGCAAATCTTGGGTTGAATTTTTAGGACATACGGTCTCTGAAAATGGCATCGGGATGAAGGCGGACGCAGTCAAAGCGATCCAAAAGATCTCATCCGACACCATCAAGACTCGCAAAGACCTGAAAGGGTTCTTGGGTATGATTGGGTGGTACCGACACTTTATTGAGCGTTTCGCCGACCTCGCTGAGCCTCTAAATGAGCTGACGTCACCGAAACGAAAGTTTAAATGGTCCCCCAAAGCACTCCAAGCTTTTGAAAACCTGAAATCTGCTATTGTTTCCGATTTGGTTCTTGCCCACCCTCTTTTTGGCAAACCATTCATTGTTCGCACGGACAGTAGTAGAACAGGTATGGGAGCAGTCCTCTCCCAAATTAACGATGCGGGTGAGGAAAAAGTTATTTCTTTCGCCAGTAAAACGGTCAACCCCGCACAAAGAAATTATTCCACTTCGGAGCAGGAATGTCTAGCCGTAGTTTGGGGGTTGGAGAAATTCCGCGAGTACCTCGACGGACACGAGTTTATTCTCCAAACCAACAATTCCGCCCTTGTCTACCTGGACACCATGAAAAATTCCAACCAACGCCTTATGCGCTGGTCTTGGAAGCTCCAGGAGTGGTCCCCTTATATACAACATATTAAGGGCCGAGACAACGTCGTAGCTGACTTTTTCTCTCGTCATTCCAGCCCCGATAATACACAAATCGAGAGAGAGGGTGACTATATGTATCCTCCGATCCGTGTATGCAAGCTCTCTCTCACGTGTAATTTAGACCGTGACGTTATTCGCGCACACCAAGAACAGTGTCCGGGTGAAATGGCAGCGAATTATGCTGGTCCCGAATTTTCCACTATTAATGGAGTAGTTTACAAAATTATGGGCAATAAGACGCTTCCCGTCATCCCCACAACTTTACTCCCCAAATTTCTGGCCGAGTTTCATGACTCGCCACATAGTGGTCACTTAGGCGTCGAGAAGACAAAGCGCAAAATATCCTCTCGTGCATTCTTCACGCACATGCACAAGCGGATATCCGAATATATTCGGAGTTGCGATATTTGTCAGCGCGTCAAAATATCGAATCAGAAACCCCCTGGTCTCTTACAGTCATCTCCCACAGAAGCTCCTTGGGAGACGCTTTATACCGACTTAATGGGTCCGTATGTAAAATCACATCCTGGGGGGTATACACATATCTTAGTCGTAATCGACGGCTTTAGCAAATGGACGGAAATTTTTCCTCTCCGTAATGCTACCGCCGTCGCAGTGGGCAAGGTTCTGGAAGAACAAGTTTTCTGCCACTTTGGCATGCCCAAAACTCTCGTGAGTGATAATGGCACGTCTTTTACGGCCAATATCATCTCTTATTTATGTAAACAATGGCAGGTTCAGTTAAAATTTACCTCCCCTTACCATCCTCAGTCAAATTTGACAGAACGAGAGAACCGTACCATTAAAACTATGATTCGAGCGTATTTAGACGGTCAGCCACATAAAAACTGGCCTAAATATCTCCCATTTTTCCGGTTCGCAATTAACTCTTCTGTTCAGGACTCGACCGGTTTCTCTCCGGCTAAAATTTTACTTAATAAAGAGCTTTCCGTCCCTTTTGACATTTCCACTCAACTTTCCGAGGCAGAATTAACTCTCTTAAAAAGTTCAATCGAGAAGCCTCAGCGCGACATAATTTTTGATAGGGCTCAGGAATACTCTCAATTGCTCTCTCTAGTTACAGATAACCTAAACCGAGCCAAAGCAAAGCAAAAACACGACTATGACCAGAGACGGCGCCACGATGAGTTTCGCGTGGGAGATTCCGTCGTCATTCAATCCACGATCCGGTCTGATAAAGATAAAGGCGTCGCAGCCGGACTCGCCCCACTTTACCGCCCCGATATTGCCCAGATCCACGAAGTCCTCTCCAATCTTACCTACAAAATCATCTTCGAGGACGGAACGATTTATGGACCCATCCATATTCAACGCTTACGGCGATACATCCATCGTGACGCAGATCCTTCTGCTCCGCCACAACTTTCACCAGCCACAGAGCCATCACCACCATGTGAAGTTGTCGTGTCACCACATAATTTTGACAATAATGTAGATATTAATTTATGTACAGATTCTAATATTGATATTACTACAGGTGCCCCTGACACCATTTCCCCTCTTCCACTACGACGACATACAACGGGATGCCCTCTCTCGTGGACGAATCGGCAGCACAGCCGCCCATTCGCCGCAGTACCCGCTCAACACGACGACCTGCACGGTACGGTCCGTTGCGCCCGAATTCACAGCAGGGACATAAGTACATATAAGAGGGAACATATCAATTTCACATCATCCTCCCTTCCCATTACAATTCAACCATATTCGTTACAAGGTCAACAGATAACACGTGGCATGCACATGCCCCAACCCAAAAAGATAAACAAGACGGTCATAAACTTTATAAAAGCCTTCACTCAGCATTTTGTAGTCCTAAGAAATATTTTCTAGACATTTTTAGCTATCGGTATCATTTTGATACCAAATTTTAGCAACTTTGATACCAAGAATGCAGTTTCTGTCGGACTATGCAACATTTCCAACAGTGTAGTTAAACTAAGGATCCTAAATAATCTTATCTTGTCAGACTACATCTGATTTCGAAATGGTCATGCTGACAGTGAAATTTTGGACACCTCGCTTCCTGTTTCCCATTGATTGTCATCCACATATTTAGTATATGTACATATACTTGTTTAATTTCACCCAAGTGCTGCTCTGGAAATCAAACATTTAGTTTGAATGTCAGAAATATTTTTTAACACAATTTTTTTGTTACTAATTAAAATCTTTGCACAATGAGGGTATTCATGATGAAAAAGTGGTAAGGATTCGTACTAAATAATTTCATAAAGTTAACATTTCCATCAGCGTACCTTTTCATTTCAGGGAGTGGATCAAAAATGGAATTTCAAACCATCCAGATGAAAAAATGGGAATGAAAAAAACGGTGCTATAAACTGAAGAGGCCTTTAGCCGAGAGAACTGAAAAACAAATTTTTTAAAATTATAATTCACAACCTGCTAGATACCTAGCAAATTTAAGTAAAGAATTATCTAGAAATATTCATCAATCAACTTATGTATCAAGCCTTTCCATAAGTCTCATGAGATTGATCGGTAGCAAGTGAAACATCAGGAGTAAGAAAGAGATTGATAATAATTTCTCAAAAAGAAAAAAAGTCCAAAATTTGAGAAGAAAAACATTAAAAAGATAAAAATTTTACCTCCAGTTTTCCACAAAATACGAAAGAAATACTTTCTTTAGAAATTTTGGGGTCAGGGTAATTTATGCAGAACATGAATTTGTATATTTCGTTCCTAAAAAATTGTTATAAAAATGTCTGCATATTCATTTTGTCCCCAATAGGTTAACCGGTTTACATAAATATTTAATACTTACGCCTATTTAAAACAGATCGATATCGATAAGCAAAGGGCGACGACGAATTTAATATTTTACGTGTGAAAAATCCACCAGCTTGGCGTCCAAGATGACCGATGCGACCATACTGCCAACCCGGAATTAAACGTGGAAGCTGACAGCGAAAATAGGGACACGTCACCAACCGCGTCTTGCAGCAAGACTGTTGCCCAATGTAATTAATTACTTACAAATTGGGAAAACCCACTAATCATGTCGTTTATAAATGGTAGAAATTTTCTTACTGAAAATATTTTATGGCTTCAAGACAATACTAATTTAAGTATTAAAATAACGGAAAAGTTTTAAGTTGCGTAAAATAAGTATGCATAAGTTTTTATTACTGAAACGTGGGTAGTTTTTGACCCATAAATATATTTTTTTTTGTTGCCGCTGCTTATTTCTTAATGTTAAAAAAGAGGCGATTTGTTTACGAAAACAAATCCATTGTTCGTATGTATATATCGCAAATGAATTCCGGTATGAGAAAATAAATTATATTGAGGGTATTCATTATTTCTTCGTATCCTTAGTATCGTAAAATAGTTTACGAAGATAAAACAAGGGGTCCGGTTTCGTAAAAATCGTAAGCGTAGTAACGCGTTTTTCGATGACAAAATCTTACGACGCTTACAAAATATCGTAAGCGTCGTAAGTTATTTTACGATACGAAGAATACTAAAGATACGAAGAGATAACGAATACCCTCATTGTTTAGCAGAACGAATTAAATTTTACTGTTCAAAGTCTTACAATACACTTGTTTTTTAGCATAAGATGTGGTTTGGGTGAATATTTACACATTAAATAAACGGATTTTATGGGAAATATTAAATCTGTATAGCATTCTTGGTACTGTTAAGGTTACGACGAGATTTTGTAAGCATCGTAAAATTTTGTCATCAAAAATCCCCTTGCTACGGTTACGATTTTTATGAAGCTTAACTTCACCCCACCTGTTTTCTTTTCTTCGTAAACTATTTTATGGTACTAGGGACGAGTATGGTACGATAAATAAATGAGAAAATACTTATTTAATAATTTCCCACAAAATCAGACATTTATGCATACATACACAATCTCGTTTATCAAAGCGTTGACTCCACGATTTCCTCTGACGTATGCAAATATGTATTTTGAGCTGGATTTACTTCACTTAACGGGCAAACATTCACTCCGTTATGTAAATATGATTTACAGGAAGACAAATTTCAATTGGTCCATACGCTCACAAATTTGTAGATCATGTCCAATCAGAGGTTTGATTCCATTCCATTCCTGCAGACTCGCAGAATGCAAGAGACATAAATAAGTAACTCAACTAACTTCACAATTTTGTCGGTTCGTTCATCCCTCAGGATATTTACGAGTCATAAATCGCACACTTAATCCAATTTTAACACTCATAATAACTAAGGATCTATTTTAATTTGTTTATTTAATAAACCAATCCCACACTGAGATATTTAGTTACAAAAATGAATTCAACTGATGAAAAACGAGAAGAACAAAGACTTGCCGCGGTTCAACGACATCAAGCTGTGTACAAAAAAGCGGCAGCGGTGACCAGGAACAACGCGCGGATTAAGCGATTGGCCGAGTTAACTGAGAAAGCGGCACGTTTAGGGATTTCGGATGGGTATCCACTTGGCATCGGTGTTAAAGAATTAGCTAATCAAAATTCTGGAGGAGAAGGTAAGTAGAGAAAATGCTTATATTTGCATATGTATTTAATTAATTAACGAGGGATGTAACTGAGGTGTTAAACAAGTTAGTAGTCGACATCAATACCAAAATATTCACAGTAGTTAACTTACTTATGTGAAGTGACGGAATTTTAACTTGTTCTTAAGTTATGCAAATGTAACGAAAATATTTGTTTAGGATGTTTAAAATATTTGTGTATGCAAATAGTTTTCCCTCCTCGCCCGTTCCTACATAAATAAGTACTAACCTTAACTTGTTTCACACCTCGAAAATAGCACGACAGAAGTTCAAATATAATATTAGATGATTGATTAATAGATCCTACAGGTGATTCTCGAATGAGTTGGGCTGATCGAATGCAGCAGCAGCACAATGAGGCAAATAATCCCCGAGTGGAAGAACAATTGGTAATCCAGCGTCATACAGAAAGTAGGAAAGTTGCATAGTTCAAAATCCAAAATATTTACAGCATAAGATGGAGAACGTTACATACTTCATGGACCCCTCCTTAAGAGCGAAACTCAATTATCACAACTCGTTTTTTTTAAATTAGGAATAATGACTAAATGAAAATCTATTACATTTGATGTGTATTTTGTAATTAGGGAAACGTCACTCAACATGATGGACAAATTAGAAGCCTAGAAGTTGACCAAGGTCACGTCAATGACATGATGGCAAGAGAAAGAGTAAAATTTTTATATATAACCGCATACCTAACTATGTAACGATGTACATAGGTTCCCTAAATATCTAACGATCTTGATTTCATAATTTAGAACAACATTGACATAAGAGCTCAATTAAAGACGCTCGTCACCTTGGAAGAAAAGGTTGCAAAATTAATGACTATGCCACCACCGGATGTCGTCATCTTGCAGAAGAACTTGAAGAAGTTGAACAAGCTCAAGACTGCTCTTTCCACCAGGAACGATCAGACTTATTCTTCCCAACCAATCATAAGGGCAAGTTTATCTTGTTTACTGTATGTATACACATATTTGTCTTACCAATACACCGTTAGAAATCTTAACGCAGGTATTAATGTCTTGCTCCTAAATAGACTCGGTATTAAAATTATACCAATCCGTAAAAATTTGCTACCAATATGGTCAAGTTTGAATACCAAGTTATTACATACTACGCAGCAGCACTATAATACCAGTTGGATAGTCATACATATATGAATACAACTTGATATTAATTAAATACTTAAGTAGCGCCTCACAAAATTGTCCCTATCTGAAAGTATAAAAACCCAATATACATACATACATATGTACATGCAAATGTATGTACCTCGTAAAGTCAAGCCTACTAACAAATTTTTTACCCGCATACAATATTACAAACATCAATCTGCAAGTAATTCCGTTTCCTTTTTAATCATAGTCTTCCGAAAACCTAAGAAATAGGGAGATCGCCCTTCAGAACAAAATTTCCACGCTCTTGACTACTCAACAACGTGCGTTGTCCATTCTGGAAACTATCGAGGAAGACACACCCCTCGTAAAACAATGGATCTCCAAGGCAACCAAAGTCTTCCAAAGTTTGGAGCATCTCATTCCCACTATACTCGAGGAATGGAACGATATTCGTGATAAGCTCGGGAAGCTTGTGCAGCTCTGTGAAAATTTAAAAGTTACCTGTGACCAATCTTTATTCCAGTCGAATAAAATTAATGGCTTGATTACCGAGCTGACGGTGGACTGGGGAACATTGGCGGAACTGAAACAAGCTTATTTCGCAAAGGATAAAAAGGTGAATTACATATTTCTACATAAGTATTCTGAGTAAAATTTGATATTCTTTCATGTAGAAATTTATCACGATTTCCTCTAAACATTGGACACAATTAAGTATTTACACTATCTCTGCATTTATATTTAGGGATTTGTGCTGAAAAGTTCGGTTCCGTAGAATTAAACCCACAGAAATTATGTAGGATTTTGCAAAAAAATATGTAGAATACTTAAAATAGATACACACCGAGATTTTGAGATTTACTGCAGAATTTGATTCTAGATAGTGATTTCTACCTTGTTGTAAAACGGGATTTTGAATTAATCTATAGACGAATAATAAAGTTGAGTGTTAAATATTTCACACAGATTGTCTGCTCGATTTGTTTGGTGCAAGATGTCGACTACGTTTTGGCGTGTGGACACCCTTTTTGCGGAAACTGTGTTGAGCACATGACAATCTGCGCATCGTGCCGGAAACCAATTTATGGAATGACAAGAATTTATTGGCAAATGTAAATTGATAGCTTTTATCTTTCGAGAAAACAGGTACTTAAATTGATTAAATTCATTCAAACCAGGAATTAACCGTAAACCTTATCGAAGTAAATGTTAACATTAATTCAATATTAACTTTTGCTCAATATATTATTTCAAATATGTATATACTAGCAAATAAGCCCGTCGCAAGACGGGCCAAAGCACTTAACTAATAACCTTACAAACATCTCGCAATTCGCTAATAAATATGTACATCTGTTTAACAACGTAACCTAAAAAATGATTTATTTTCTCTTTTTGTTTAACTATTTGTTTAACTCAATAAGTATGACATTAGTTCCTTAATACCTTGTTGTAAACAACATTGACGGTAAACATTTTATCACTATCTTCAAGAAGCTTGCCTTGTTTAGGACCGGTGACGATATTAATTTTCACATCAGACGACCGGCGTGCCCTTGACAACGCAACATAGCTGTCCGTGTGAGAATACTGGTTCCGGTAGATGAAGTCCTACTTTGTCGAAGGTCTGCCCTTGAGACTTGTTGATAGTCATCGCAAAGGCTAATTTAACTGGAAATTGTCGCCGGTGAAGGATAAATGGAAGATCCGGAGTTATAGGTGCCAAGTCAATCCGAGGAATGAAGACGAAGCGACCATTTGCTGTTCCGGATATAACTTCGGCGATAATTAAATTCGGCTTCAACTCCTTTACGATCAGTGGCGTACCTTTGCACAGACCTCTCTTTGTGTTAAGGTTTCTGAGGAGCATGATAATAGCACCAACTTTGAGCTGCAGAGAATGTGGAGGCATACCCGATGGATTTAGCCCATTTAGAAATTCAATAGGATAGTTATTAGCATCTTGGTCGCATTTATCTTCAATTGAATTCAGCACTTCCAGCACTTTGGCGTTAATCCCATCGACATGTTCATTCTTTGGTGACAAAATCGTTCTATTAGTGAATTGATGAATTGTTGTAGCTAAGAGTGATTTTCCATAAATTTCTTCAACAATATTGCCGGAGGAAATCAAGTCCTGGGGAATTTCAACTATGTCGTCCGGAAGATTGTCGTCATTTGTCAATGTTCCGTCGCCGATTGACAATATCCACTCGCTGTATTCAGGGTCAACTGATCTAACATTTTCGGTAAGATGCAAAAACCTAAACTCCTTCCATTGTCGTGAAGATTTTAGACATACTTCGATTATTCCAGCCTTAGTTCCGTGCACGACAACGGGTAAACATTGGCGAAAGTCGCCTCCGAGTAGCAGGACTTTACCACCAAATGGTGTTTCATTGTTCATAAGTTCCCTTAGAAGGCGATCGACAGCATTCAAGGCATGCGATGGGGCCATTGTTGATTCATCCCAAATTAGTAAACTCGCCTCTCTTAAGTTCTGAGCATCTTGAGAAGTTAGACGAATATCGGATACCGACGTCTCCACCAAAGGAACTGGCAATTTATATTGGGAGTGATATGTTCTACCATTTGGAAGGAGATTCGCAGCAATTCCAGTTGAAGCAACGGTTCCTTCCCCACGAAGGGACGCAATCAAAGTCTCATAAACGAAAGTTTTTCCTGTTCCACCCGGACCATCAAGGAAGAAGCATTTTGATGTTAGGGCGGCGTCCGAAATAGCGTCCCAGATGACAGAAAATGATTCATGCTGCTTGTCGTTCAAAGAGCAAAATAGTTCCATTCCACGGGATGCTTCAGCAGAAACATCAAAGTCGTATATCAAATCCACTGGGACCCAAATTGGTGCTGGTAGGCCGACTTCAATGCATCGCTTTCCGTGAAGCCATAATACGCTTTCTACTTCGGTCAAGGCTAAATTTTCACAGTGGATGATGCAATTTTCATGGTTATTTCGATGGGCAAAGTCTTCACACTTCGCTTGCTTGAAGTTCATCCAGAGTGTGTTAACGTCATTAGGGAGACCAAACACACAGATTAGGGCAAACAGTTCTCTCATTTGTTTTGGCATACTTGCAACTGCAGCTTCTTCTAGAGTCAGCAACCAAACTGAGTCGTCGTTGAGCAAACCATATTTCTTTGCCGTATCTTGAAAATTTGGGCATAGTGTTCCGTCCACGGTTCTTATATCATCATAAGATGTTGCACCACGGACATGAAGCAGCAATAACCTCAGGTAGTACCTACATTTATATACATTGATTAGTTTAGATGAATAATTTGATTAGAACTTTAAGCAAGGTAAATTAAATCTATGTATACTACCTTTCAGAATCTTTCATGTTTACAGCATACCTTCTGCCAATAACATTGTTTCCTGCTTGTATGCGCTTGATCCACTTCCCCTTGACAAATCGGTAATGTCCTGGGATCTCGGTATAAAGTAGCTCCCTGGCGCTTTCATCTATTGTATTAAGATCGAACCAAGCTGACAAAGTAGTTCTTCTAGCACCTACTTCGAGGATCTCATCGGCTAGTTTCTCAGGGTCGAAAACGATACTCTGAAAGTCCTCCAAATGCACTTGCAGTCGAACAATGGTATGAGACTGTTTGTGCATATTGAACCCAAAAATACGCCATGCCCCCTCAGCTGCACCCACCCATCGAGATTCCAAGAATGATTCGACTTCGTTATGCTGAACATTTCCTTCCTTCACAACAATTCTGGCACAATCGTATCCCTTGTAGACGTATTTATAGAGGTATTTGACGCTTTTGATGCTTGCGCAAACTTCAACATTTATATGACAATTGTATTTTAATAGAAGGTATGGATTGTACGGGACAACCCAAAGATTATTTACTTCGTGCCTTCCCACTGTAGTGGATATTCCATTGTCCCGTCGTCGATACCTTGGGTAGCCGTTTAAATTAGCCACTGTAACCTCTTGAAATTCCTTTGGAAACTCCTTGGTGCATTTTGATTTGTCCATGCATGGCGATAGCATGTTTTTTGACCCACAAGGGCCATGAATCATATGAGACTTGACATACTGATAGAGCCTTGGATTGTCGAATGCATTGGGAACTTCTGCACACACAATCTTGTCAATAATTTCTGTGTTTGATGGTTTTGAGCTTGGCTCCAGAATTAGTAGAATATGTGCGTGTGGTAGTCCTCGTTTCTGAAATTCGATGACATGGACAACTCCGACGACCTTTCCAAATATATGTTTCTCTTGCAAGTCATCCAGCAGCTCCTTCAGCTTAATATTGAAGACCCTGGCAACCAGGTCTGGGCGATTTTCAGAACATTGTCCTGGTTCAAGATTCTCGACAATCTCTATCCATTTGGGGTTGCACGTCATAGTGATGAACAGGTCTGGCTTCCCGTATTTACGAACCATTGCCATTGCATCCTGGTAGTTTTGTTGCATGTTCCTTGGGCTTCCAGGAAATGAAGAAGGCAAGATGATTGCTTTCCCCGGTTGAACTCCAGCAAGATCAGCCTCAGAATTAAGATGATCCATTAAACCCTTGTAATGTTCTACTCGAAGTTTCTTCTGGTTTGTCTTAATATAATTAAGTCGATTAGCCTCCATCTTAACATACGAATCCACGATGTACTGCTGGGTTAATCGTCCAGCGCTAAGGAAGGCGTTGAATCTTTTTCGAATCGCAAATTGATAGCCACACCATCGCATCTGGGTCAGCTGCTTTCCATCTGTAAGTCGTAGTTTCATATTCCAGGCTTGGTCGGAAAATGGGAAGAGTAAAGGATAGGTCAATGCATCAATATTTGGGTCTAAGAAGTATAAGGTCTTGGTTTTTCTTATATTGGAAGTGCTGTCGGATCTTAAATGTATGCGGAGATCTCGCTCAAGGGGTGGCTCCCCGTCAGAGTTTTTAAACACAATGGCAACTTCGTTTGACCTTGGTGCATTGTATACCCTCAAATCCATTGATCTATCTTGTATAATTGTCATTGATACTTCAGGCGGAGCAATTCCCATTTTCATAGCTTCAGTTTCAGACTCTTGCTCAACTTCAAACAACATTCTATATGCTTCAGTGAACTTGTTATTTTGCGACATCCATTCGCTTAGGATTTTCATGAGGTCTATGTTACACCCGGAATTCTCGGAAGTGTTAATACGTTGATTACTTGCCTCGTTAGGATCAAAAATGTACAGTTGGGAGTACTTTGGGCTATCTCCTTCATCGGGATGCAAGTTTCCGGTTAGATGATAAATCTGCCCATGGATTCGAAAAGTGTAGGGACCACGTCCTTTAGCCGAATAAACGTTAGCTCCCATTGAGGCAAATGCTAAGGCACTGTTAAAAGATCGGACATTCTCCATAAAATTCTTCGAGTGCTGGTGTTTTCCGGTCATTAAATCTTGAATGAGCTGACACATTTGAACTTGTGGTTCTTTTATTCTTCCTTTCTTGCAACAATAAGTGAAGCTGTTTCCTTTCGGCCATTCATCCTTGAAATTTATTGACCCGCATTCTTCGCATAGGATTGGCATACTTCCACAATTCTGTTCAGAAACAATGGATTCATCAACTTCGGAAGATACGCCCGATTGATACGTCGAGGGGGGAGTAGATTTTTTCTGATTACGCCGATAGGTGCCCCGTAGTTTTTCAGCTTCTCGAAACTTCTCAGCTAAAACTGGATCAATGTTGGCTCGATTTTGACGCCGCCGTATAGTCGATGGTCTTGGCTCGGGCTCAACTACAAGTCAAGATATTCTATCATCAAAATTATTAACTCAACATTTTCAGAAATTAATAATGTTTTACTATACTATTTTCATTATTCAAAACTTCGTGAAGACTTGTGGCTAATTTATTTGACTTTCTAATTCGATCTTTCTCTCTCTGCAATGATTTTTGCTCTTCAGTCAGCCGTCCTCTTAAGCGTGACATGCGGGATGAGGATGTGGATTGGATTGAAACACTGGCCATTTTATTGGAATCCAAATGGTCATAAAATTAATTTGTTAATCGGTAGCGTTATTTATTGCGCTAGCTATTTTGTTCCTAAGATAATACCCACCTATGCAAAAATTGTCAAAATAAATAAATTTTCTATCTTGCGAGCTTAGCAACCGTGGTTTTTTGCAATTTTCACTATGTTGCGGTTTGCTTAATTAATGTGTTTCATAGAAATGCTAATCACTAAAGTAGGTACTGGATATTTGAGCAGATATACTTACATAGTACATTTAGGAATTGATTTATATTTTAAGACAATTTTTTGATACTGGACCTAATAAAGCAATTTATTTAACTCTTTATAAAAACCCAATATCATTTACAATGAAGTTTTCTGACTGAACGCGCTACATCAATGGTATAAACAAAACCAATAACCCCTACACAAATTCGTATATCGTTATCGCTAATAATAAAGCTAAACCCCACTCATTTAATCCAATTACTCGTTAATATCAACTTCATCCTCTGTTGTTCCATAACCGCACTCACAATGATCTTCATCACACTCGGTATTTTTAGCGCCATCAATTCGGTTATCTGAATCTGTATGACTGGTGCCCAACATATCTTTTTCTAAGGCCGATACCTCGGTCACAAAGTTGTCGTCATCTAGGTAAGCGGGTTTCAATAGTTCTTCAACTGCTGATAGGGGTTCCGGCATACCTGCATTTTCTTACCCATCCTCCAACTAGGTTGGGAGCACACTTGCCGGAGTGGGAAGAACACTTGGCGGCCCGAAGCGCCGGCAAATTTTTTGGTACTTGTTTTTCTTTTTTTTAATTGAAGAAACATTTTTACAAAATACAAAACACTAAGGTCTAATTTAAGCAAAGTGGCCAAAACACCCAGGTCAAACACACAAGCTGAACAGAACACGAAGGTTTTAGAAAAGCCTAAGCAGAACAAAACACTCGGGTCTTAGCAGCCCAAGCAGAAACCTAAGCTGAATAGAACACTTAAAGACACAAGGAGAACAGACGACCCAGTTGTTAGAAAGACACAAACAGAACAGAACACTTAGGTCTTAGAAAGACACAGGTAGAATATACATTCGGGTCTTAGAAAGACACAAGCAGAACAGAACTCTTAAAAGACACAAGGAGAACAGAACACCCAGTTCTTAGAAAGACACAAACAGAACAGAACACTAAGGGCTTAGAAAGACCTAAGCAAAACAGAACACTCGGGTCTTATGAAGACACAAGCAGAACAGAACAATCAAATCTTAAAAAGACACAAGCAGAACAGAACACTCAGTTCTTGGAAAGACATAGGCAGAACAGAATACTCAGGATTTAGAAAGACGCAAAAAGATAAGAACATTCAAATCTTAGAAATGCCAAGGACGAACAAGAATTTGGTCTTACAAACACAAAGGGAGAAGAAAACACTTACGTCTGAAAATGACACAGGAAGATTAAAATTCTTAATTCAAATTTTTGGGCAGTTCAATAAATTGTCTAAGTAGGGGGGGAGATATCGTATGGCGTCCAAAATCATTATAAAGACGTGTGGTGTTATCACAACCAATTTAGCCATCGAATCGTCTGAAACCTATACAACGACCATTGTTTCTATGGATTTGTGCTCAAATCGGATTTAGGGAACGCAGAGATACGGTAATTTCGTTGATGCAGTTATCTCTACAATGAAACCTGCCTAGTCAACTTCCACTACCATCGAAATTATCGATTCCGGAAATCATTATAACCCTGGCAGGATTGAGCTGCATATATAAGAAAATCTTTGTATAATATAAACATATTTATACCACACAAAGGCGAGTTGAACACCTATCGAGATCGAGGCGAGTGCAAATATGGCACGCGAATACATAGGTACATAGGGTTTTAATGTTTATTACCTAGGTAGATATCGAATATTAGAGAACAAATTCTAGCTGAGCTGCATAGCCTTGGCGTGAATGTCACCGAATAAATATCACTAAATTACCTATGGGTGACCGGAGCATTAAGTTATTTTTTGGCGAGTAAACACCAAGGAGAACTATTTAATCCAAACCAAAATTTTAGGAAATTATCAAACCCCGCACACGCTAATCATTCAAGGAAGTGACCAATATTGGAAAATAATTAAAGCTTTAACCGATAGCTTGTCAATAGAAACTGTCACAGTTATTGTGAAGGTCCAAAATCGATTCCGAGAGGTGCTTAATTATAAGTTTCAACTACGAATTACAATTTTTGAATAACATCGACGCAAATAAAGAAGGGATCCTGATTTGAATCAACATTTTTGCATAATCACCAATCTCCAAAACATTTAGGCAAACAAGTTTTTTTCAACTTTCTAGGAGGACAACATCGCTAGTATACCCCATCCACTCTTAAGTCGGACTGTGATCCATGACCTGTGTAATTTGACATGGTAGGAAGTTGTTGATAAATCCTCTGGGATAGTATCGGTGGAAATCATACCAACCAGTTTTTGCTACGGAGGATTAATCTTTCTCCATTGTTCACCATCAATCCAACTTTTAGCAAAAACCATCCGCTTTGCGATTTTTCACCTGCCTGCCAAATGTTCTCGCTGATTTTTCGCAATTAACGTTCGAATTTTTCCAGGTGTTTCGCTGTCGAGCGAATGTTTCTTTGGCACAAGGCTGAAGTCTTATCCATTTCTCGCAAATAGGGATATTTGGAAGGTTTACTGTTTTAAGGACGCCTTTCCCAATGTTAACCGTAGCATGACTAACTAGTAGTTTTACAGGGAGTTTAGTTTTCATGAACAGCTTCCGTTGATAGTCGACCCTCACTGGGTTACATGAGTGAAGAAATGTATTTCTCCAACACTTTGACGGGTCAACTTTGTCGTATTCTCGTTGCAAATGATAATAATTTTTATTGAGATACTCTAAAGAAAGTTGTAGAAAATTTCCACAAGGTTGTGCAAAATTTTGTCCAAGGTTGGGTAAAAAAGAGGATGACATAACCGTGGGACAAATTTTACTCAACATTGTTGAGTAATCGTTTTCCACAATTTCGAGGTGGAATTTACTCAACAAGGGGTGGAATTTTTACTCAACTTGAAACTAAAAATTGATCAATGAATGACTAAAATTTACTCTTTGGTTGCGTAAAGTTTACTCTTTATGCTGATAAATTCTTTTGATTATTAAAACGTACTCTTGATTTATTATAATTTAAGCTCGCTTAAAATTTTATAAATTCTAGTACAAAATAATTTAGTTTTCATTAAGATACTCAGATATTACTTCCACAAAAACAAAATACATACAATTTAAAAAAAAATATTAAAAAATTCGAGAGATCATCTGACCAAACTCTGATCTACTAACCTCGTTAGGACTTGTGATTAAACAGGTGTCCTAGGTTCATCTTGAACACATGATGTGCGCTTGAAATGTTCAACGAAAAGTAGACATTGTAGGAAAAGATTGGTTGAATTAATTTTAAAATTGACCAAAACAGATTCGAGGCAATTAAGACTCTTGGAACGCTGAAAAATCGGTTTCTATCATACAAACCTTTGAAAATTTGAAATATCTAAATCTGCTTAATTCTAGAAAATAGTACGGGAAACTGCGCAGCCTATGCAGAAGGATTGGAATAACAACACATGAGAGTTGTGGTGAATCATGGCTTTAAAGAAATCCAAGATATCTTGATTTCTAGGCAGATAGGAAGAAGTTTAAAATATATGTCCGACAAAGTGGAAAGACGTTGGTTAAATGCGTTACCATTATTTCGTTTAACCACCGAGCAACAGGACGTAAGCTAATTGAAAGTATTTTGATTTGCAAAGCTAGTTGAGAGAGTAATTATAATGTGGGCTGAGCAAGCACTCAAATTTAGGCAACACGAAAAAACTATTTGTCAATTTACAAACGGTTAACGTGAAAGACTTTCGTAAATACCAGATGTAACACTTCGTAGTTTCACAGCTAAAGTTGTTTTTAAAGGGTATCCAATTGTCTTGATCCAGAAGTATCGGTGAATACTTATCGTGCACGAAATATCCAGACTTTCAATCCCTACGAAATATATTATTTATGTACGAAAGAGAATGGGACGTATCGACCTTGCGTGTATTTACTAACCTTCGTTAGCGATATGTTTTTGTAAATTTCGTAAGTTTATGATATTTAAGCTTCAACTGTTACGACGGAGGTGTGAAACTCCTCAATAATTTTCATGAAAACATTTTCTACTCGAACAGAAATACATATAGAATGATCAAAGTCTATGAAATTTTTGCCAGTGATATAGGTATTTAGGTGAATTGAAACGTATCTACGAAGGTGTCTGTTAGCTCTAGTTTCGTGTGGACTGTTTATGCGCAAAAAAGTTATAAAAATTGTCAGTTTAAATGACGCCTGACCCTACGTATGTATGTATGTATAGATTATGAGTATTCGGTTTGCTGGGTTGTCACGGCCTCTTTCACAACGAGAATGAATAATTTAGATGAATATTCTGACCCGAATATAGCCTTAATTAACTAATTATACATAGAAAATTGGAAGAATGTAAGGGAATTCCGAACAGGGTTACTGATGTATTGAGGGTATTCTTCGTATCGATTGCATTTTTCGTATCGCAAAATATGTATGTATGTTACGACTGTTACGAGATTTGCTATGCGGAGTAAGATTTTGGCAGCAAAAATCACACGATACATAGCATACGATTTTTACGAAGCTTGACCTATTGTTTTTTCTTCGTAAAGTATTTCACGATACTTAGGATACGGAGAAATAATGAATATTCCCACCGTATTTTAATTAGTTTCTGAACCACTTTAAAATTTGTGTATACAATTTTTACATACAAAAATATATGTAAAGTTACTTAGCTATCCCATTTTTAAAAGCTTTGCCTGAAAAAATTTCTTCCTAAAATGTAATATCTTCGAGAAAAAAGTTTTTAAAAATTACCAGATTATAGAAACTAACAGCTAACATAACTGTTGGGAACCCTAAAACAATTATTAAGTAGCTTCAGCTACTTTATGTGAAGACTGTCTGTCTGTCTGTCTGTCTGTCTGTCTGTCTGTCTGTCCGTCTGTCTGTCAGCAGGATATCAGGAGAACGGATCGAGATAATCGAAATCGGTTTTCGCCATCATACATAGGACCCCAGGGGGAGGATCCTATCAACTTTTGGGGGCAACCGGACCACACCCCCTTTGGCGACAGGGGGTGTGGTCGGGGCAAAATGAGATTTTTAGTGCAATTTAATCTATAGGTGAAATAGAGTAAAATTATGTGTTCCGGAGTTGTGCCACACCCCCTCGGCGCCAGGGGGTGTGGTTGGGGCAAAATGAGATTTTTAGTGCAATTTAATCTATGGGTAAAATTAGGTGAAATTGAGTGAAATTAAATGAAATTAAGTGAAATTAAGTGAAATTAAGTGCTTCCCCGATTGTGCCACACCCCCTCGGCCCCAGGGGGTGTGGTTGGGTCAAAATGAGATTTTTAGTGCAATTTATTCTATGGGTAAAATTAAGTGAAATTGAGTGAAATTAAATGAAATTAAGTGAAATTAAGTGAAATTGAGTGTTTCCCCGATTTTGCCGAACCCCTTCGGCGCCAGCGGGTGTGGTTGGGGCAAAATGAGATATTTAGTGCAATTTAATCTATAGGTGAAATAGAGTAAAATTATGTGTTCCGGAGTTGTGC